CCAGGACTGCTTTCGGAGCAGCTAATAGTGAACAACCCAGAAATAACTTCAAAGCTGCAGGGCTACCATTTAGGCTGTCTCCCTGCAATGAAACCAAGTGAAGAGCTAGATTTAGTTTCCTTCCGTTACGGTTACAGGAATTGGAAGGTGATTCTTCTACGTAAGGTTAGGAGTAAACGTACGCCCAAAGCTAAGATTTAAGACATGACATACGAGCGAGACGTGTCCACCAAGAGTAGTCTTTCCCTGAAATGACAGGTTACTGAAGAGTTAAAAGGAACGTCTAGAGCATGACTTCGGTAACAGAAAGAAAGCTGGGAACCGAAACAGAAACACCTGGTGATAAAGCCAATTATAAGAACATCTTCCCAATGACATGGGGCGAAGTGGGAGACAGAGCACTTAGAATTAGAAGAGCGGGACGTTGGTGGAGGAAAGGGACACGAGAGACGAGAACGAATGGATAGAAAACTGTTGTAAACGATTTGCTCATAATTTTTGCTCACCTTGGAGACGACTTAATGCGTTCTTGGTCAAGGGAAACATCGTGAAGAGGAAGACAGAACTGCGGCAAATGCAGCTATTGGCTCGGCGAAAACTCGCGTCAAGCACCCTTGCAAAGAACCCTGAAAAACAAAATGGCTTCCGATCCTTAATGTGATTTGAGGAAATCTCGCGAGATCCGTACAAACCTATAGAAATTGTAATCCTCTTTACCGCGAGGAAAGATGAAGGCCTTTGGGAAAGGTAGTTTCAGGCTTTATACATGAGGTATTTAATGAAGAATAAAAGAACAACTTGAAGCAGGTTTAAGGCTCCATACAGGAGAGCTGAGATACTGATCTTAGGTTGAGTCGTCTAAGGCACCAGCTTCAAGATGGTATTGAATTTCCAAAGGCTTGGGTTTGGTATCTCGCTCCACACTACCTCTTTTTCTTTCTGCTCCCCCAAAGCTTCCCTTACTTGTTTCATTTTCTGTCTCCTTTTACTACATACTAATTGGTTTAACATTTAATTGTGAAATAACTTCAAATTTAGAGAAAAGTTGCAAGAATAGTGAAAAGAATTCCTGTAAGGACTGGCCGGTTAGAGCGCGGTGTTGTAACACCAAGGTCACCCATGTAACACCCATACCAGACAGTCGCTGGAAAAAAAAAAAAAAAAGAATTCCTGTAATATATGATAAATATGTAATAAAGCAAATTTAGTAAGCTGTTGATTGTAGGGTCTTGGTGGTGGGTGTTCACAGTACAATTCCTTCAATTTTTCTTTATGTTTGGATATTTTCATAATAAAATATTGGGGGGGGGAACTTATATACCCATTACTTAGGTACACCAATTGGTAATATTTTTCCACATGTGTTTCTCTCTCTCTCTCTCTCTCATTCTCCATACATATATGTGGTTTTTTTTTGTTTTTTGTTTTTTTTCTGAACTATTTGAGAATAACTTGCATACATCATGCGCCTTTACCTGTTAATACTTCAGGGTTCACTTCCTAAGAGTATGATATTCTCTTACATGACCACAGTACAGTTACCAAATTCAGAAAACCTAATATTGATGCAATACAGCTCATATTCCAATTTCACCAATTGTTGCAAGGTTTGTATCCAGAGTTCAGTCCAGGTCCCTGCATTGAATTTAATTGTCATGTGTCTCCTTTAAAATTGAATTGTTTGATCTTTGATAAAGGCAACAAGAATGTACATTGGGGAAAAGACTGCCTCTTCAATAAATGGTGCTGGGAAAACTAGACATCCATATGTAGAAGAATGAAACTAGACCCGTACCTCTCACCATATACCAAAATCAACTCAGAATGGATTAAAGACTTAAATATAAGACCTGAAATAATAAAACTACTAAAAGAAAATATAGGGGAAGCACTTCAGGACATAGGACTGGGTAAAGACTTTATGAATATGACCCCAAAAGTGCAGGCAACAAAAGAAAACAAACAAATGGGATTATATCAAACTAAAGGAACAATTAACAGAGCGAAAAGACACCCTACAGAACAGGAGAAAATATTTGCAAACTATGCATCTGACAAGGGATTAATATCCAGAACATACATAGAATTCAAACAACTTAACAGTAAAAAAAACAAGTAAACCTGATTTAAAAATGGGCAAAGGAAAAAAAAAATGGGCAAAGGAGCTGTAGGTGTTTTTCAAAGGAAGATATACAAATGGCCAACAGACACATGAAAAAATGCTCAACATCACTCAGTATCAGAAAAATGCAAATCAAAACTCGCTGAGAGGGGCCGGCCCCGTGGCTCACTCGGGAGAGTGCGGTGCTGACAACACCAAGGCCACGGGTTTGGATCCTATATAGGGATGGCCGGTTTGCTGACTGGGTGAGCATGGTGCTGACAACACCAAGTCAAAGGTTAAGATCCCCTTACCGGTCATCTTTAAAAAAAAAAAAAAAAAAAACTCGCTGAGATATCATCTCACCCCAGTTAGACCAGCTATGATCAAAAAGACAGAGAATAACAAATGCTGATGAGGATGTGTAGAAGGGGAACTCTCCTACACAGTTGGTGGGACTGTAATGTAGTGCAGCCATTTTGGAAAACAGTATGGAGGTTCCTCAAACAACTACAGAAAGAACTGCCATACAACCTAGCTATCCCATTCCTGGGTATATACCCAAAGGAATAGAATTCATCATGGGAAAGAATACTTGCACTCCCATTTTTATTGCATCTCTATTTACAATAGCTAAGAGTTGGAATCAACCTAAACGTCCATTGACAGGTGACTGGATAAGGAAAATGTGGTATATATACACAATGGAATACTACTCTGCCATAAAAAAGAATGAAATTCTGCCATTCACAGCAACATGGATGAACTGAGAGAAAATTATGTCAGGTGAAATAAGCCAGGCATGGAAAGAGAAATACTGCATGTCTTCACTCATAAGTGAAAGCTAAAATAAAGAATGAAAGAAGAGGAAGGAAGGAAGGAAGGACCATAATAATACATTAAACTTTCAAAATAAAAAAGAATAGAACTATGGTTATTAGAGTTGGGAAAGGGGGAGGGGGTTGGCAAGAAACTAGTTAAGGGTCACAAAGATTGATTACGTTTTGTAAACATGAGTATACTAATTATCCTGATTTGATCACCACATATTGTACACATGTATTGATATTCGATTCTGTACCCCACAAATATATATAATCAATTCTTTCAATAAAAAGACTGTCAATTAAAATAAGGTAAAATTGAATCGTTTGTCAGACTTTGTCTTTCATGTCATGATTTTTTAATTTATTTAATATATATTTAATGTTGGGTATTCTATTGTAAGAATGAATTTTATTTTCTCCTCTATTTATTTGTTTATTATCAGTATGGATTCATGGATTCAATTACTGTCATAATTTAATGATTCATAGTCACAGATGTGGTCAATAGGATTCCCCTCAAGCTGGCTCGTGTGTCTTTTTCGACATGTCTCCATCACCTTTTGAGAATGTCTTTATTTTCTGACACAAGATATCAAATATTCATCATGTACATTCCTGCACCACCACGAGAATGAAGCATGTCTCTAAAGAGCCCTAATTTATTTTAGTGGGAATGGCATTTAGCAACACAGATTTGGGCACTAGGTGTGTTCATTGCTTATTGGTGTGTCATTGCGTCTAGTCCTTTCAGTGAATAGAGCTAGGAATATACGTTATGAATGATAAGTTTATACTAATACCTCCAATTCCTGTCCAATTCTACAAAGTTCTTTATTTTCCCTCATTAGGAGTAGGAGTTGAAAAGTAGTCAACCTTTCTCCTTACTCCCAGCCCCTGCCAGCCACTGCTCTGTTCTTTGTACCTATTGGTTTGCCTTTTCCAGAATGTCATATAAATGGAATCATACAATATGCCTTATTGTGCTTTTATTTTGCATTTTTCTTAATATGAATATCCATAAACATTTTTAATTTTTTCTTATCTCTATTTCACGTCTTCACTTCGGAACCCGCTATTTTTCTTTCCTTACACATTTCCTTGTCTCTCCAATATAATGAAATTATTTTCCTGTGCTGTTTTTTCCCCAGTAGGGCCTAAAAGAATTGTCATATATGTTCCACATCATCAAAATAAATCCAAATTATATGCAGATTGATTTTATTTTGTTGGTGTTTTTCTTCTTGAGTATATTATTATCCTCTAGTAAAATCATCCCAGTTTTAAAACCCACTATGATGAAACAGAACTGGAACAAATAAATGGAAAATTCTTCAGCTATGTAGGACTTTCATTACTGTTAGATGGGAGAATTGAATGCTTAATGAAAACCAACTGAGATCACAAAAACTTTAAAAAGAGGCAAAGTACTTCTTTTACAACCTCACTTTTGCACCCATCCCCAAAACAAAATAACAAAAAAGAAGGTATTCGCCGTCTATTACCCATAATTTAAGTCCTTGCTGGTGCTTTCAGTAGTAAGTCAAGCAGTTTAACTAAAAAATGATGTTATGAATAAACAAAAACTTTTTAAAATAATTTTTGATGTCCTCTTTTTTTCAGCGCACCTGGCACAGTTCCTAGGACACGGAAGATACTCGACAAGCTCTTATTCATATTTACTTTCAACACTCTCCTTCAGTGATATTTTTCCCTTCCTTTCCTACTTTTACTTTTTTTCCATTTTGATTTGAAGTACTTTGGAGGCAGAATGGGGGACTAAGACAGCTCCCATCACTCGTGTATCTAGGTCCCATCTTTCTAGAATATTACGCGAATGAGGTGGGTTTTAAGGACTTCGACACGAATGTTTACGAAAAAGATTCCGTTTTAGCAGCCTCAAACCATTTTGGCCTCCGGAAAATTCGCAACATTTCATAACTGCGCATGCGTGTTGGAAGAGTCGCTAAGGGGAACATCATTACGTAAAATGAAAGGGGCGGTTCATCACCTTTTAGTGGGCCAATGAAAACCTCCAGATTATCTTTTTTCTATTGGCTAACAAGGACCAGTTCGAAGTGAACTGTCTTTTAGCGGGCGTCTGGTAGTAGCGCACTGTTACGTAATGTGAGGGGTCGCCCTGCAGGGCTGAGCTGGGCCAATGAAGAAAGGCAAGGGGCTGGCTTGCTTGTTCTCACGCCCCACCCTCAGACCGAGCCGGAGGAAAGTTTATCGGAGTGAGTGGAGCGAACATGGCAGCGCGTTGGTGGTTTTGGTGTGTCTCTGCGACCATGGCGGTGGCGCTGCTGCTCGTTTATGAGGTTCCTTCGGCCTCTGCCCAAAGAAAGAAGGAGGTGAGAACGCGGTTTTCAGCAACATGGGCTTTTCTCAATGAGTGGAGCTTGATAGGGTCTGTTCTCTCCCTCCCGACCCCTTTTCTCCTCCAGTTCTGTGCCTTTGGTGGCTTCAATTCCGCCGTTTTCGGAGTTGTGGGATTCTTTAGAGAAGGAACTGTAACTCCTTGTCTTCTGGGAGTGTAGCGTCTGAATGTAGGCCTATGAATGCACGTAGCTATGAGTTTTGACACTTCTTTCGGGTGCTGGAGGTGGGGAGTTCGATTTTAAGTCCAGGGGTAGGATATCTAAGAGTCTTTCTGCTGTTGGCAGAAGTAACTCCCTCATAGATGTATAAAAGCTATCTATTTTGTAGCATTTTCACTTAAGGAATGTGAGAATTAGACTGAAGCGTGAAATTATGCAAGGTTTGTTACACTGTTCAAATAATTGTTTCAAAGCAACTTTGTACCAGAGTGAAAACTCAAACCATTTTCAACCGTTCAACAGATATCAAGCGTGCTAGGCACCGTTCTAGGCACAGTTCTAGGCGCTTGGTATACGTAAGTGAACAAAAACAGGATCTCTCTCTGTGGAACTTAACAGGCTTTGGGAAATGCAGGAGATAACAATATTCTGTATTCACCATTAAGCAATACAAGCAGAGGAATTTTAACAGTTCTTTGAAATATTTGTGATTTAGAGCCATATATTCTTAGAGTTTTAAAAGAATTCTAGCAGTTATTTACACCTTCTAATTTTATAGTTGAGAAAAGCCGAGTACTAAGTTTACACGGTTAACTGTTGCAGAACAAGGACTAAAGCCCTAGGTCAGTCAGTCTAATGTTATTTCCTGTACATTCTGTGCATCTTCTAGTACACAAAACTTGTACACTCACTTTTAAAATACCAGTTAAATATTTCAGATGCTTGTCAACTTCAGCTGAATTAAGAAGCTATCTTCTCTATGTTTCTGAGTGTGTGAACTATTCCATGCGAAGAAAAAACAAGGTAACAAATTAAAACAAGAATGAGTTACTTATTAGATTGGCAAAAAGTAAAATAAAACTATACAGTTATCAAAGGTATGGTGAAGTTAGCAGTCTTATACACTGGAATTGGAAAGTGATGTACTTTGTGGGGAAGATCCCAAGTCCTTGTATGTGAAAAACAAGATGCAGAGTACACAATTTTATATCCTAGAAGCCTTTTATGTTTTTTTTTTTTTTAAACCTTATATGTAACTTTATGTATATATAGAGAGAAACCTCTGTAAGGATACATAGCCAACCCCTATGGCTATCTCTGGGTAGCTGGGATTGTTGATGAGGGGAACGCTTTCACTTTTTCCTTCGTATACTGATATTGTCAGAATTTCTACAATGACTACTTATTCTTTTTTAATAAAAAAAAAGTAAAGGTTTTTTTAAGCTAGCATTTCTACCAGTGAAATTATATTTATTCATTCACTCTGTCACTGAACTAGAAGGAGGACATAGCAGAAAGTAGATTATTTTTTAAAAAGGAATCAGAACTAAATTGTATACTTTAAAATGGTTAATGTGGTGGATTTTATGTTATGTGAATTTTACTTCAATAAAAAAAAAATTTTAAAGGAATTAAATTCTAACTCCCTTCCCTTCAAGCCCACTGTTCAGACCCTTATAGCTCTTGCAAATGTATTGCAATAACTGCCTCCAACCCATCCTTTGTAGTGCTACCAGAGGAGCTAACATGCAAATCTGAAAACCTTTCACCCTATTTTGCAGGATATAAAAGAGCTTCTATAGCCTGTCTGTGGTCTGCTGCTTCCAGCCTTATCTCAGTCCAAGCTTTTTCCTGTACTAGTCATACTGAATTACTTGCCTGCCTTCTACTGGAGTATCTCTCCCTTCTCTCTTACCCCACCCCCTCATTCTCCTGGGGGTTCCTACTCAAGTCTTAGCTCAAACAGTACCTTCTTCCTAAAGCTAAATTTTTCTTTGTTCCCACAGATGAAGTGAGATAAATTCAGCACATCATATTGTCATTGTTTATATATCAGTCTTTCCCATTAAACTGTGAGCATCTTGAATGCAGAAACTACTTAATTTTTCTTTCTCTCACACCCAGCAGTGTCTGTGAAAAAGATTCTCAGTAAATTTCAAATTAATTAATTAATCTGGGCATAAAGAATCAGGAATCTGTTGTTTCACTTAGAAGTAGTTTTTGGTTTCACAACCTAAAACTGGATTTTCTCATCGGTAAACATGGAATTAATATACGCTGGTAAAGATGTTTTAGTTTTTACCCTTTCCCCCCTTACTGAGAATACTTGAGACTGTTTTTAAAAAGATTACTGTGATACTACTTAGACACAGTTTCAAAATACAGGTGTTCTATGGCAGAACACTTATTTTTTTGTCAGTTTTTGAAAACATTATTTTTAAAAATCTCAGGTCCATCCACTATAGTAAATTTGGCTTTAAATAGTCAGTAATGTCTGATATTAAAGTCTAAGTATTCTTTTTAAAAAGACACTTCCCTTAAATAAATATGATTAAAAATCATTCAAGTTCCTCATAGTTGCCTGTTGTTAAATGGAATGCTACCTTACTTATCTCACTATTTACACCTTTAACAATGTTTTCACTGGAACGTGGACTTATTCTCTGATATTGAATACCTTCTACATGCCGGGCACTATGGATTACATATGTTATTACCCTGCAGGGTAATTATCAACCACTTTTAGAAGATAAGGGAACTGACACTAATCAAGAGAGAGGTTGGGGGCTTGCTCAAAGAAGCACAGCTCTAAAGCTGAGCTGTGATCTCACCCCTCATTTGTCTGACTCTAAAGCCTATGCTCTCTGCTGGGCCACACAGGCTGTATTTTGCAGTGACTTGTTTTATTTTTATGGTGAGTTATTTTTCCCCTGTGGTAGAAGGGAAGTTGCTTGTCCTCACATCTGGTGTTGTCTTAGGAGGCAGCATGATAAAAATAAAAAAGTATGGTCTTTGATAAAATTATATTTCTCAACCTACTTCTGGGAATCTATAATAATAGAGAAATTATCTGAAATATGGAGAAGGGTGAATGCACAAAGCATACTGAAGCATAATAAATGTGTTCATAATAATACTAAGATGGCAAATAGTCCCCCTCCTCAGTTTTCAAAAAAATTCTGTAAAATTTTAAAGTGGATATGCTTTAATCCAACCCCAGTGATCTTTACCAAGATAATCTTGGGACTGGCTGGTTAGCCCAGTTGGTTAGAGCATGGTGCTGGTAACACCAAGGTCCAGGGTTCGATCTTTGTTACCAGCCAGCTACAAAAAAAAAAAAAATGGTACTCTCATTTTCTTCTATGTCTTTGTTGTGAAAATTAAATGATGAGGGCTGTAAAACATGCCTAATGCATTACCTGGCATGTAGAAGATGTTAAGTATTAAAAAAAAAAAATGAGGTTGTGTTCCTCTGGATAGTAAAATGTTTTTCAGTTGATCTTTTTGTGATGTTTTTATGAGGAATATTCAGAAAATAGAATTATCTGCATATTTTAACAAAACAGGCTATCATTATAAAAACTTCTAGGTTGTCTAACTTTACTCTGAGAACTGACACTTGAAAGTGTCACATGTGCAAAACCCCTGCAGTTCTTTAGAAAATATCTTATTACAGAGAAATAGGCTAAAAGTAGTTGCAAAACAAATTGAGACACCCCCCCCCAAAAAAATAAAAAAAATCAAGGAAAGGGAACAGAGTTACATTTTAGCCCCATCCACGAAGTAGGTGAACTGAAAATGGAGCATATGGCATTTAAGGATTAAAAATGCTCTCTTTGCTCACTGTCTCCTTCAGTAATTATCTGCCAATTATATTTCCAGATCTATCCAGTCTCACTCTTATTTTAAGGATGGAGTTGGAAATATATTGCTTAACCAGGAATTTTAGTTTATTAACATCTGAAGACTGGTAGATGATTAGGAAAGCTAAAAATATGAAGAGTTTTTATGAATAAACTCTGATTGTCTAGAAAAAAGATACAGCCATAAATTTTTGGGGGGAAGGGAGGTGCATTTTAAAGGAATTCAGACTGGTGATGCTTAGCTTTATTCTGAAATTCAAAAGAAATCTGAATGACAAGATCAGATTTTAGCTTGAAATGATAATTAGTAGATTCCTATACTGTATTTTTGATGAGTGATATTCAGTGACAGTAGGAGAATGTGTAGTTGTTAAGGTTTAAGCTAGTTTGCTAGAGCTAATCGAGGTAAATATACAAGCAGGTAGAGTGAAATTAAACAGCTGTCTCACTGTCCTTTCTTGGTCCTCTTAATCTCTTGTAATACTAGATTTTCATAACACTTGATTATTAATGACAGGATTAGAGATATTAATTGACCTTTTGGTAGTGGGGGATTTTTTTAGCCATACTTATCAAAATGTTTCAAGGGAAGAGAAAGACTTTAAGCTTACTTTACTTTGTTGGTACATATTATGTTTTAATTGTGAATATTATCTTTTTTTGTTTTATTTAAATAGTTGAAAATAGACTGATGTACTCCAAGAAGGAGGGAAGTTAATTGATCATGAATATCTTTGCTTATAAATTTAATGTGTTTTTCTATAGTACATCTGTAATTTGTTTGTTTGTTTTGGCAGCTGGCCGGTACAGGGATCCGAACCCTTGACCTTGGTGTTATCAATACCACGCTCTAATGCAATTTGCTTTAAATAAATATATCCAATGCAGTTTAAAACTTTGGATCGATATATTTTCTTAAATGTTTAAAACTATTAGTGGAAAAAGTATTTATAATAGGAGTTGTTTCCAAAGCAATTGCTTTTGGGGGTTTCTAAGTAGTTCACTTTAAAAACCTCTTACCTTTACATACTATAGTCCTTGGAAAATGTGTTTCTATGGGGCCGGCCCGGTGGCGCACTGCTACAGTGTGCCGCTTGGGAAGCGCGGCGGCGCTCCTGCCGAGGGTTCGGATCCCATATACAGACCGGCCGCTCACTGGCTGAGCGAGGT